GTCTTTGGGTGATGTCCAATGGTACATTATTATTCCACAAAATTCGATATGCTTTGCCAATGCCTATTGGTGACTCCTTCAGGAAGTATATAGAGAGAAATATACAGTGATCTCATGAGTAATTTTAAAATAAGTTTTCTTACGGTTTTGACTTTTAAAGTTATTATTTGACAATAAGATATCGAATTTGAGGTAAACGCACTTATTTAATCCATTTCAATTTTATTTTAATTTATTTTTTATCCGATTTTATTTAACGTTTGTATTTTTTAATTATATTATATAAAGAGGTTTTGGAAAAGTAGTGAACTACAACAACAAAAATTCTTTTTTATATTATTTTAATAATTAAGATTTTTGTCTGACCATATATTACATTATATTGTATTATAGAGATATGCGAAATTTTTCCATGTAATAATTTATCTTTAAAATTGTTTTGTAAAATTAATTGTGCTTAAATAGTGATAATAATTTTCTTATTAATTATTGTAGCTTACAATCATAAAAACATACATTTCTTGTTAATCGTACAGTATCTGACACATTTCTTGTTAATCGTTATTATATATTCCAACTCAATGTCCATCAAAGTAGTGACATAAAATTATTTTAGTTAAATTAATTAAATATGTGCTCCAATTAGTACCACATTGAACGTGCTTCTTTTATGCACCTGCCCCTAAGGATATTAACGTGTATCGACCACTCCAATCAATTGAATTTATACATTATAACCTGAATGCACCCAATAACCTTTCTACTTAACTGATTAATATACCAATCACCTTCGAAGCTATTTACCAGTACTCAAATGAGTTGCAAAACGTTGTAAACTGAATTAAATTACGTTTTGTGCAGGAAATTTAATTATATACTCCTAAAATATTATTTACAGCCCTTTAAACAGTTTGATTCCCTTCTTAAATTTAGTGCTAAGTATCTGCAATTATTTTAAAGTATTTTACAACTTCAACCACAAAATAACCACACTAAAGTACACTTCCACTAAATCCAAAGTTCTACTTACCGACATGTGCCGACAAGACAAACACTTACAATGTAGGCACGCTTCCAAATCCTTAAACGCAAGCATAAGTAAATTAAATGTTCCATATAACCGCACACTAGGAGCACATTCGTTCAAGCCAAATTTAATATTGATGTTAGAAACCACAAAACCTATTCTAACCACTTTAAGTGATTTTCTACTAAAATCTTTGTCACAATTCCAACAAATTGCAACACAACCAACAAAATAACAACGACAATGACTACGTCACATACAACATAAAACATACGACATACCACATACGATATACAACAAAAACAATATCAACCAAAATTGAAAACTTTAAATGCACATCCATTTAAAACTCGAACTGAACCGAACTGCAATCTGAACACTCATACGCACCGTGAACTTGCATATATTTGCATACATGCACAATATGTGAATGCTCACGTCATTGGGCTCTAAATAGAGGCTGTGAGCAAAATGAAGCATCGTACAATGTCTTCCAATTGGATGCATTCGTTAATACAACGCAAATTTCCGATTTGAAACAATTTCCAAAAGTGACAACAGCCATCGATGCAATTGATGTGTCCGAACGTACGCTTTTGTCGTTGACGCAGACAATACAAAACATATTGGAGAATATGTTGCAAACATCTTCGTTCAATTTGACCTCATATCGGGCCAGTATTGGAGCACCAACGCCTGAAAAAGATTTGGCTACGTTCATCGATCAAATGCAGAGAGTGGCATTGCAAGTAAGTTATGTTATTAAGTAATTAAAGCACTCCATATATATTGGTTCAATGTAATAGTTTGTTAGCATTCCTAGTAGATTACACAAGTTACGCTAAAAGTAATCAAGGCTAGAAGAACCTATCAACATTTATCAAATGAATTTGTTTTTAAATAATATTGCTAATTTTCCACAGGAACAACTTTACACAAAGTTCTAATAATATGTATAAACCAACTATAAACTCATTTAAAACTACAAATAGAGAAGATTAACTAAATACATAATGTTTAAATCGGCATCTACACTAGCTAGACTTCAGATATTCCGAATTTTTTTCCGAAGAAAAAATTTAAACGTGTTAATGAAAGAGTGAAAGTATGTGCAAATATCTTGTCAAAATAAGATCTTGTAGGCGCAGAGTAACACATTACTCAGCCTTAGCTTAATTACAGGTATATAGGCCGAAGAGAACCGCTTTATGTACTAACACCACCGACCCATGTTTGATATTCTTGCCGAACTCTTCGAATTCTAACCCATTATCATTATATAATTCTCAAGTAATATTTTACGTTTACCATTTGTATTTACGTTTACCATTTGTATTTACGTTTACCATACGAGTTAAGAGTGCTCAATTCTCTTTGAATCGAAGATAACAATCAAAATGATAACAGTCAAATTGATTACACTCTTCTTAAGAAAGCGTACTTTGTTTTCTATTTTCGATTCCACTGGTAATTTCCGTACTATATTCTGGCATTATATTCTGAGTCATATTGGAAACATCACAATTTACATCAGTTACAAAGACCTATATGCTTGATGGACTCCGTTATGTTATTTTTAACATAACTTTACAATACGGAATACCTTAGCCTTTTTAATCTTCTTCAGAGTATGTGATACGTGTATGCACAAAACTCACAATCCGTTTACTCAAATCATCGGTCCAAACGTAATATATTGGGTTTTTTTGACATTGCAGTATCCTCTTCCAGGAGAAAACTTTTTTAACTTTTTTGATAATGTTTGTGACGGTCCTTATCACCAAAACGTAGTTGACCAAACTAACCAAAAATCCTATGCCTGGAACAAGCATTTATTTCCGCACATACGTAATTCAAAGCGTAAAGAAAAGTTGAAATATAAAAATGACTATATCTTAAATTAAGATCATTAAATATATATAATGTATATATAATGATAATATATAATATGATTATTTATGTCACTTCTTAGATTCAATAGAATTCATAATGTCCTACATGATGTTTTCTACAAATCTATATAATCTATACGAAGCTCTCGCTGCATCTAGGTTCGCTAAGAACCAATAAGTCTAGATGTAACTTAAAGCCTGTGAAATTAACCTAATGTCGTCTAATAAAATATATATGTTAAAGTTGATATAAAATCTGAAATGAGATCCTACCAGAGTAATGTTTGCGTTGGGAGAAGTGGCGAAATATTTCAAACTATATCATAACATGATGCCATCAAACAATATAAAGCAAAAATATTAAGTCATTCAGGTATATTTTTGGGGTCGGAAAAAAATTAAATATTGAATCTATCCATTTTAGATTCAAAAAAGTAGTTATAGTAATCTTAAATGGTGATGAATTTTTATGATTCACAGTTTTTTTGTTTTTATAAAAATTACAAAAATTATATAGCTATTATATATATTATTGTGAGGAACTAAATACAATCACCTAAATTATTGTTAGAAAATAATTTAAAATCTACAAATAATATATAAACCTACACACCTATTAAATGTTTGTTTAATATTTTAAATAAAATATAAACTAATTCCCATCATCACCTATTTTCGAAATAAATTCTAATTATAAATTAAACGTTTCTAAATGGAAATGTATCTAAATTATTAAATCACATGAGAAAATAGCTATTATCCTATCAAATACAATCTTCTCCTTTTTGTAAAAATAAATGGTCATAAATGAAGTCTATATCCAAGAGCCATGCAATTAAAAATAATAAAGCATTTCATGCATATTGCTGTTCCTCTGAAACCACCACACGAACTCTACTCACTCAACTCACTCAACATTCCCAAATTAAGCCACTCCGCAGCTTCCAAACACAGTACTATACATACATAGATATATCTACCCCAGATACATAAATGCACACATAAATGCATAACTTATACGTTTCCATACATAAAACAAAAGCATGACTCTGAAATGAAAATGAAAATGAAAAGAATTTATTTTCTTTCAATTGCCACCAACTAAACTGAACCATCGAAATCGCCATCACCATTGCCACCTTTCATGGCGCATGCATGCCAACTAATAGATACAGGATGTTGCCACTTCCTCACGTATGACAACACTTGGTAGTCGATCGAAACGTTTGCAAGCTTCTATTTTGCAGCCATTGGAGCAATTGCAGAACGAAATTCTTTATCATCTGACAGCATTGGAATTGCAGAGAGACCCATGGGCCAAGCAGGTCAATCAGACATTAAACCATTTGCGCAACATACAAGGATACTTGGAAAAGACAGCTACCGAAATATGCCAAAATCAAACACGCATCTATACAGAGAGGTTAGTAGAGCTGCAGTACGCAGCAGTATGTCTGAGTTTCGGGTGAGTACTACAATAAGCGAATTATGTGTGTTTGTGTGGAGTACAATGCAATGCTATGCCTGGCAGAATTGTAATTGCAGCAACCAATGAATCGCCTGTTATTGGTTATGCTGGCTGCTTGTAATACTAATGATGGGAATTGTTATATGTGGCTATGTTCAATGCAATAACGAAGCCATGTTGTTGAGACAACTTCCAGAGAGGGGAGTAATACAATCTGTGTTATACATAACTTGTATATATTGTGGTGGACAGTGAGTAACCTCAATTCTTGATTGTAAGTGGTAGTAAGTTATTAGACGCTTACATGATTAAATAGCAAATAACCTAGTGTTTTAATATTCAGACACGAGTATTGCATTTAGTATTTGATGTGTTGCTTATCAGATAATTGATTGTTACAGCTCCTTTTCTGTTGTTTCTGGTCATTAAAATGATTTTACAATTTTTGAGTGTGTTATCAATGTTTTCTGGTTCATCAAGAAATTGTTTGGTGAATTACAAGTTTAAATGCAACAGTTGTTCAGGTCTCTCAAATAGGTAAATGTATATTTCGAAAACAGTAAGAGGCTTTTCATTTTATTAGAAAATACTTCAGTTATGTGCAATACTTATTTCAATTAGTGAAGTCATGGACTCATAAATTTAAGATTTTCAGTCGTTATATCCAAACATGGTTAGTTGGTTGATTGCAGGTAGTAGATCAGAAACTTGTTTTCCAATTAGCAATTTTTCACAATTTTGCTAAAACTTTTCTCACAATAAACCTTACGGTTTAAGATTATCACACGTTATATCTAAATGTGGTTGCTTCGTTACAGGTATCATATTAGCACCTAGCTTTCCACTGACCACAATTAGTTATTAAGGACCGTTTTGCCACCACATTCCACACAATAGAACTTGACATAGAAAAAAAACAGATTAAATTCAGCCGTCAAATTAAGATAATTTAACGAGTCTTTCATCCTTACCGAGAAAAAGTCTGCCAAGCTGTCAAAAAAGTACTTCGCTAAAAGTGCATTTCTTCCGGACGTCATAGCCGGGTATTCATAGAGAAAATGTTTAATAGTTTATATTTTCTGCAAGTTTCCACAACTTCTACCATAACTATTAAAAAAATCTAATGTTTCTCTGTGTACGTTCCTACGGACCAGAGTGACCAGAGATAACTACAGTAGAGTAAGCTACACCTCGTGTGTCACGAAAAATATCTTCAAGATCTAAAATATTATACAGAAATTTATAATAAACAAGGACTAGCAAAAAAATATAGTTAATAAATAAAAAAACTATAATCTTTGATAATTTGATTAATGTTTGAGTCTATCAATTATGTATTTAATAATTTTTTAGATAACTCTTATTTAGCCTAGCCAGGTCTTAATGCTGGGATACCAATAAAAATTATAATAATAATAATAAACAATAAAAATGGCGGGTTAAAATGTGATTTTTATTGTATTCGAACAATCAGACCGAATAAGACTTAATAATAAGACTTACCTAAATTACATATGGGAGTGATTAGAAACAAGTTTAATTTAATACATTCTTTTTTTAACAGACTCAAGACGTATCTCACAAATAGTAAGTCGACCATGTCAAGTCAGTTGGGTGAAACAACAGCAAAATGCCGTCCATTCTTTGATATATTTGATGCAAATCGTATATTTCTATGTAGAAATATTGTAGATTACATAAACGGTTTATGGTTCTTTACGTTCATAACAATTCTATTATGGTCAATTGGTACACCAGTAGGATTAAATATGATCTCCATACAACGAGAAATGGATGGACTGAAAAAGGTGCAAGCACGTGCAGCTGAGCGAGCAAGTGATAGCAGCGGTGGTAGACGACGACGTACGGATCGCACTGAAAGGGCGACTAGTGCAGCAAGAGATCGAAGTACAAGTAGTGCTTCCAGACCTAGGCCACAACTGTAAGAATATAATAATAAATTATAATATAATAATATAATATATATATAATAATATATAATATAATATATATAATAGATATATAATATAATAGAGTATTAATAATAATAAATAATATTATAATAAATAAAAAAAACTTTATTAACATTTTTAAGGCGTCGTTCTGCCACAGAAGAAACATTGGATATAGCAGATGAAGTTGAACCACAACGTCAATTACGCGATACTCGTAGCCGTGAACGAGAGATAAGTAGACCTCGAGAAACACCCAGTGCAACTGCTACACCAGCGCGCAGCAGAACACAGTTGTAAGTTTAAAAAATTTCAAAACCTTTACCATATAACTATAATCCACTTCAAACTATATGTACTATAAATAAGTTAATTAGATTAAGTATAATATGAGTTTAAACCTAGCACAAATACCTGCACTACCACCGTGTATAACCTACACTATCACCCAATAATGCTATGCAAACTAAGTTATATTTATTAGTTAAGTATATTGTTATTTTAATTTTTCAAAAGACGTCATTCAGGCACCGATATTGAAGATAACTGGGGTTCGTCTAGTGCTAGTAGAGGAACTTCTATGGAACGTGAACAAAGTCAACCCAGAGGTTATAGCAGTTACAGACCGCAGACACAGAAAACAAAACAGAAACCACAATTGTAAGAAAATGTTCAAATAAAAATAATAATTTATTAATTAATTTGTTTATGAAATAACTATTAATAATTAAGACGTAAGCAAGGTACTGAAGAGTTGGATATGGATGATGATAGTTGGTTTACAACTTGTACTGGTCGAGAGCAACGACGAGATAGTAGAAGAGAGCAACAACAAGATCGCAGCATGCCTAGAACGTAAGTCATATAACACGTATACTTAGTGCTCAATCTGTTAAGGGCCTAGTGTTTAATCCTCTCCAAGTCCTTAACTAAATTATGTTGCAAAAGTATAATATTCAGATCTTGAAAAGCATATAAATGACAAGTCGTTAGAGAAAAATTAACAAGTTATTTAAAAATAAAAAATTGAACTTTAATTATATTATTAATTAATTCTATAAATTATAAAAAGGCGACGTCGTACTGAAGATGAGAGCTTTGAACAAGATAGAAGACGTCCAGCTACACCAGTTTTGTCAGTCAATCCAGATGCACAACCTGCCGTTCCACAGCCAAGAACTCCATCACGTTTGAGAAGTAGAGTCTCACTTACATCCAGAGCTATTGAAAATATCATGACTTCGTCAACCGGTCGTAATAGAAGATTGTAAGTAACTCGGACAGGGAATTTAGTTTACAATTCTTTAAAAGAGTCTCAGTAGTTTGAAGTGGATTCATTATAATTAACGAAACAACAAAAGTTATTTAGTAATTAGGTTTACAGCCCATTTTCAAAAAATTTCTACACATTTTTCTTTAATTGCACTATTCATATAGACAACGTACCGGTACTGAAGACTACGATCTAGATGACAGTGAGATTTATGGTGCTGCCACCGCAACTAATCCAGCTGCTGTTGCTGCGTAAGTTTAATTTTAGTCTTTTCAGTATTTCTTGATCTATTAAAATATTGATTGATTAAATAATTAATTCTAGCGCTCGACGTACGCCACCAAGAACCGCACCACCACCACCACCACTTCCTGACACGATGACCAGGTTCTATCCACGCTATTGAAAATGTTAATATTTTGTAGTAATACTTGATTTTCTTTTCTTTGAAAAATCCAATACCTACAACTTTTACAGTTCACGTAATGTTCGCTGGCATGAAGAAGATGATTTGGTCTTTGAGGATGCGGATTAGGTTTAGGAGTTCAATGATCTCCTCTCCTTTTATAGTATTAATTTTTACTTATATTCACAAGTTTCATATAAACATAAACATTTAACATCACATATATCAGAAGTAAAAAATATTTTCCATAACAAATGCACGATTTTATATATGCTAAGCGTATTTTAAATTTTTATTCTATTTTAATTAAATAATTTTTAAGTCTCATGTAAACACTTTTTATATATAAGACTTTTTTCTTGGTACTGTGTCTGCCTTTAAGTATAAATATACCAACATGAAAACAGTAGAACATTTTTGAAAATTAATAAACATAAAATTAATTTCACACAAAAAACAATTTTGAAATTTATTTTTTATAAATTATATAAAAATATGTACATATTCTTTAAGGTGGCAACACTCAAAAAATTGTATCACGGATAATTGCTTAGCAAATTATAAAGTAAAATTCGATGCTTAAAAGACGTTTGCTCAATCAGTGCATAATGAGATGTATATACAGAGCTACATTAACGTTACAACGAAATTATAGACGAACTGAATCGGCTATTCTAATAACTTGACACCAAGTTTGCTATTTTAAAAGACAGAAGGCAAGACTGCGCACTAAAGTCATTCTTGGGATCAGTACCGAGTATTTATGGATTTGATCTTGTTCACAAGAACATGGGCATTGTCTATTAGTGGTGTAGATAATTTTACCAAAGAGTCTTGGCTTACATCACAACTCACTTCAATTGATGCTAGAATGAACCACCATGATAATAGTTTCACTTCTGACTAAAAGGAATGGGCCCCATAATGATAAGAATTTAACTTATTTCTTACCGCAAAATTTTATTAATTGATGAAGTTCACTTTAACCAATAGTAATACTTTAAATAGAGACAAATACCAGTAAGATGGTGTATTTATCGGGTTGTCAGTTTTTAAAAAATGAAGAAAATATATATTGAAAATATATATATAAATATAGAAACTTCACCAATTGTCGAACTTCAGAAACAGCATATTCTGTGAAGGTTCTTAAACAAACACTGTGGATTTCACTGTCGCCTAAATAAAGAAGTATTCCATATAAAGAATGCCCACATATTTGTTCTGTGTATATATAAGGGGTTTCTGACCATATGAGTCTAAAAATTGTTATCAACTTTGCAGTGAGCCATGTGTTTCCACAGCTAATGCACGGCGGCAACCCAATACTTTAGGAGCCCCCTTTTTTGAGGATCTTGATTAACTTCAAGACCTCCCATTAAACAACATTTTAAGCTTCACCAAAGGTTTCAGATGGTTTTAAAATATGCCAAATGCGTTCTATCATTTATATAAAATAATTATATAACTGTAATTGGTATTATAATTGGATGATGTTTCTCAGTATCCAACGAGAAAGCGAGGCATTGCATCTATTGTGATTTTATTGTTGTATTACCACACTAAAAACTGAACGGTAGACACTCAATGCTTGAAACGATGACCAGAATTAAAAGAATTGACTAGTCTGATAGGTCACGGAAACATGCAGTCAAGAATATGCTTAATAGCCCAGATCAAAGCCGAAGCGTGACTAAGAATGTAACAAGGGGTCTGATCTGTTTCTAAGCAGAGCCGACATTCTGCTTCCTCAGTCAGTCTCAAAATGTTAAGATGGCAGAAATTTCTATGCTTATCTCTCAGGATCATATATGTACTCCTAAAAAAGCTTCTGATCTTGATTTCGCTTGTTACTTTGAAATTTTATTTCATTGTATTCCTTTTAATACAAATTTTTGAAAATTGAACTATTTGCGTCCTGTGAGAGTGCTCCAATTATTGAGACCCAAGTAACATACCATATAGTAAATAAGTGCAATTTGTTAATATGTGTCGTTTGCAGCATTATTATGCCTTTATGTAAAACTTTGTATTTGAAAATTGAAGGTATAAAAGAGCATCGGAATGGATTATTAAGCGAAAATATTTTAATATAATATATTACTAAAGAATCCAGAACGCAGGTACATCTACTGTTAAAACACCTAATTTCAAATAGTGGAGTATAATATTGATTAGTAAAGTTTAAATATTTTGTTATAAGGAATATATAAATTTAGTTAAAGTATATATGTGACTCAAGATTATGCATACGTGCTCTTGGTAATACGGATATATACTCCGAGGAAAGTTTTTGGAGTGAAAATCGAAAGTATGGAGATGTGAAATGTTAGATTAAATTCTCTGCAATTCCGACAAAATATATCTATATTGAGGATAGTTGAGTTGAGTCAGTGCACCTGAGCACTTTTACTCTCTACTAACTGCGAGGTTTCTACAAAACCCCTCTTTGCACCTTGAATAAATTTTTGTTTATCACTTCATTACACTAAGCAATAATTGACCTCAGATCCGCATATCTCCCCGAGGAGCCTGTTACCATTCTGAGATTTGATAACGCGGTGTTAGTAAGACTGTCAGATTTCGCAAATAATTTCAGGGCTCTATCCTTTATGTATTTTTTGATGGGATCAATCTTGACTCCCTGAGGATGCCATTCGTCCTAATGTACCAAGGAACTCTGAAAAGTCTTCTCAGAGCCTGTCTTTGCGCAATTTCTAATTGGTGAATAGTAGTGTTTAAAGCTTTGCTAAACGCTACACAACCATATCGTTGCATTCTATATGATAACAGCACATATTTATAAGTTATATATTACCAGTAGTAAGGAATATGGAAAGTGCAAAGAAACAGTTGTTAAAGAAACTCTATAAGATATTCTGTTTCTATTCTCAAAAAATTGACTTAAACTCGTTAAAGCTTAATATAAAGATTTTTATCTATATTAAGAACTCTAATATAGTATCGGTAACTCTTTACCCCGCCTGCTTGCCTACTATTGATGTCTTAAGAATTGGTAACATTATGTAGTCTTAACAAATCAAGTACTTCTTTGTGAAATACTGAAATTTTTTCTCTTTACTCAGTTCAAAATTTTTTTTCAGATATAAAACCGTATTATAAATGAATATTATTATTTTTTTAACCAATAATACTAATTTAATACTAATACTAATTTCACGAAAATGAATACGCTAAGGTACTTCTATCTCGCTACTAAAAAGACAAGTATTACATCTTTTCAAAGTCACTTTTGACTCACATAATCCGTAAGTTCAGGGAACTTAAATGTTTCAAAATAAACACATATTGCTTATAACATAAATATTAGCCCTTTTTCATGTATTAAGTTATATCACTGACATGATTATGTTGCTGTTTTACGACCACCGACAGGGTCCTAAATATGTAATAACATGTAAAATGGATACAAAAAATTTGTTGCCTCATCTTTCAGTTGCCCTGAATTTATATGATTTATTTTTCTGCAATATCAATTGTCATGATTATTAAAACTTAAGTTTAATTTAAGTTTGCTTTGTAGGACAAAAAGGACAAGCATGTGCAATGTTGTTCCTCATAATTTAATAAAATATTAAAACAATGTTGTACCACAAAAAAGGATTTGTAGTGTGCATGCTTTTACATAAATTAGTGCTCAGACAAACCTACTTTTCCTCCAATACACTTCAAACAATGAATGCACACCACATGATGTGGTGCCACAAACAAACTTACACGCATTTTGTGTCCCAACTTCCACTTATGCAGACGGTATTACGTTCATGGTCCAAGTCATCTGCATGTGTCCTTGTGACTGGATTACAACTTGCAGGCAAGCGTTTAACTCTTGTTTGTGCTGTAGATGCAATTAATCTCTGATCAATTGTTTGACCATTTCGAAAGGACATTCAGTTTTTAGTTGCTTAATTATTCGATTTGAGGTCAGTGTGTTGAGAATCTGAATATATGTATATCATATAGGTATTCCTTAATTGGGAAATTGGCAAAATTATCTGCATTGAGCTTGCTAAATTAATTTAATAAAAGGATTTGATTTAAAATAGTCATAAAACTTGATTTAAATTTAATTTAATTTAATTTTTTGAATTAAATTTAAAATAAAAATTATGAATCAAATTATGAAGATTAATGCTATATACATATATAGGTTTCTCCAGTGAATTCGAAGTAGTTATCAGTGACATATCAACTTGGAGAAATAATGAAATTATCTTAAAGAAGGGCTCCTCATTATGATATACTGATGGATCCAAAATGGAAGATGGCGGAGCAGGGGCATGAATTATAGGACCGAAATTCCGCAAAGCAATTGCAATGGGAAAGAAGTCCCAATGCAGAGGCACCCGTAGTACCCAAATATGCATTCTTTCGGACACTCAAGCAGCTCTAAAATCTTTAGGAAACTCTTCATTCCAATCAAAGTTGATCTGGGAATGCTTTTAAATTTTTAATATCCTAGCATCGAGGAACTATGTAACTCTTATGTAGGTACCGAGACATGAAGAGCATGAGGGCAATGAAATAGCAGACTTCATGTACTCCTTTCATTGGTCCAGAGTCCTTCTGCGGGGTAACAAATAGCTTGAACACTGGAGAGCATACGACAGTCAAAAAGATTCACTGATCCTGAACACATGAAAGTTGACGCTAGCAAAAACAATATTGAAATATACACTGAACTTCTTACAGAAAACTGTAGAATTAATTACCACATGAAGATTATAGGTGCGGTGGAAAGTAATTCCCGTCAACTCTGTCATGAAGAGAAGGAAACATCAGAAGCGGGATCTTAGTCCCCAATCAAATAGGTAAAATTAAGCCCACAGCAGTTATGAGATTTATAAATAGCCTAGAATTGTTTCAGTTGGGCCTTTAGGCAAACAATAAATCTTTTAAGTCGGTTTGCATTCTTAGCCTATTTAATAATAATAATAATAATATACATATATAGGGTAATTTTTTAGGCTGTATGAGAACTATCGAAATCGATAACTATGCTGTGACAGCTGAGAATATCAAACTGTGTTGACATTACTGTTTAGTAAGGTTTGGCACTTCATCCATTTTAAGATCAACATAATCGCCCTAGATGGCCGATGGTCGACAAAACACCATTACACCCATTACAATTGACTGTTTACACGCTGGTGGCATCATCAGTCCTTATTTGTTTCGAAATGAGGAAGTAGCTGCCAGTATGGTGAATAGAGAGCGCTATCAAGCCATGAATGACTGAATGTCTTTCAGTATTGTTTGTACGCTCCTATTCATTCTTCAACTTCTATTCATAATATCACGAAACATCATTATTTGAGCGTAAGTGCGCTTTGATGTACAAGGTCGCCACTTTAAATTGACCTAACCTGACTATTTATTTTTATTTCTTTTGCAAATAGTTCATGTTTTAT